TGCACACTGGCGCGGTGTCTGGAACATAACGAGATAGATGTATATAACGAAAGAAAGAGAGAGAGAGAGAGAGAGAGAGAGAGAGAGAGAGAGAGGGACGAAGAAATAGAGAAATACCCGGACGTGAACGAAGAAGGTACGGTACACGAAGATAGACGACAAGTGCCAACGACGTCTGCTATTTCCTCGTCATCCTCTTCGTTTTCATCGTTGTTGGTCGTAGTCGTTGCATCTTATAAAATGCAGTAGTTCGAATGCAGAAAAGATCGTACCGAATACGACGCCGAAGAAGACGACGACGACGACGGGTTTAGCCATCGCGAGTATATAAAAGGAGAGAAGAGTAAGAAGAAGGAACATGCGTGTACCTTAACCCATTAAGCATATAGCGGATGATGCGCGTTGCGTTCGACGGCTCCTTCCAATTGGTCTCTCTCTCTTTCTTTTTTTCTCTCTCTCTCTCTCTCTCTCTCTCTGTATATGTATATCTCTAAGTGTGTATGTGCATGAGAGAGTGTGTGTCTTGCACGGCAACGTTCGTTATCTGCAATAAATATTACACTGCTAGAGGTTTCTTTCAACCGGCTCGTTTTCTCTCAATCGTTATCGCGTGCTCGTTGACGAGATCCGCCTAAGAGGGACGAGCCTCTATTTCTCTTTTTTTTCCCCCTCCCCTTCCTTTCTCTCTCTCTTTTTATTTTCTCTTTTTCTCTTATTAACTCTTTAATTTTTCCTCTTGCTTTTCCTTTTTTCTTTCGTACTGAGGAAAATAAGAGAGAAAGAGAGAGAGAGAGAGAGAGAGGGAATATAGATACATACATATACATGTATACAAATACGTTCACACACACAACACACACACAACACATACACCCACAAACACATATAACACACGTATACATATTAAGAGTGTGCGACTACAGTGCAGAAAGTTTTGTGCAGTGAACGGTCGTTAATAGACCAGTGCAGCGGTTCTGCGGAAGGAGACGAGAGGAAGAGGAAGATAGTTAAGTAGTGAGAGAGGAAAAGAGACGGAAGAGAAGGCACTATATGCGTTGAGAGGTACCGCACGAGTGCCAGCTAAAAGAAAGAAAGAGAAAGAAAGACAAGTACGATAAAAAAGGGGGAAGAGACGTCTTTTACTAAAGAGAAAGAGGACCAGACTCTGTGTGAGGACTCTCAGTGTGCTTTGTGTCTATGTATATGTGCGTAGTACTATAGTGGTAGAGGAAACGAGGAGGAGAAGAAGAAGAAGAAGAAGAAGAAAAAAAAACATATAAACAGGGTGCTATATAGAAGACATTAATAAAAAAAAAAAAAAAAAACATCCAACAAGATGCATTTTCACGGTGGCCTATTGTTGACGATCTTTCTAATCGTCCTTTTTTGTCCTTCGACGCTTCGAGCAAGAAGAGTCGCACCTTTGATGGAGGATGATTGGGCCAGAAGACCGCATCGAGCTGCCGGTAAGTTTTTCTTCATTTTATTTCTATCAAATCTAATTGTTAGGGATTATCCAATGATAGGTAAACAATTTGAGTATGATTGGTTATTCCTCGATCTTGATTATTATTTATCTTTTGATATCAACATAAACATAAGAGACTCTGGCGTTACTTTTCACCTTTCCTTTTAAAGCTTGAGAACGTTCGAAAATATCGAGAACGTCTCTCTTTCTCTCTTTTTTTCTTTTTTTTTTTTTCTTTTCTTTCTTTCTTTCTATCTCAAGTTAAGAGACTACACACTCGAGATGCTTTTACGTAACGAGAACCGCGTGAAAAAGGCGGGAAACGGAGCGATCGTAAACCTTGAGTCGGTGTCGCATGACACGCGGGAATGTATCGGTGCATTCGCATTCGTTCTGTCCTCACTCTCTTTCAAGCCTTCTATCTATCTATTTATCTATTTCTCTTTCTCTTTCTCTCTGTGCAAGTGTGACGTGCAGTGTAAATCTAACTTCGTTTCAAATGGGTATAGTATTGCAATGATCCCTTACACGAAATTCATCTTATAAGCGTTATTATTTAAACTAATGATTTTGTCACAGCATGATATGATATTTGAGGTCTCTTTTGAAATCTCTTGAAAATAATTTCATTATCAATATAATTACAATTTTTTAAATATGCTATTAGTATTGACTTTTTCCCAACTTTTCGTGATAATAATGTAAGTTTTGGTTCGTTTTAATAATAATCCTTAATTAATAGTTAATTGATGTCAATACTTTACTCACCTTCAAGTCTTTCGTTAATATCACACAATTACAAACTAATGTTGAATTGTATGTTTACTTTTGTTGTTTCTTAGTCAAAAGTATGGTTTACATTTCAAACAGTTTTCGCTAATTTACATTTCAATTTAAGCTCGTACAACAAAATCGCAAGAATTCGCCTTTTTTTTCTCCGCCCACGATTAATTTAAGGTCAATACTAAATTATAAAAATAATAATATTAATTTTATTCTATATAATAAAGTATATATATATATATATATATATCATATATAGGATCACGATTAGATTGAAGGTAACTAGGAAAATAGGTAACCAAATTAAAATCATTTCGACACCAACCTAATACTTAACTCTTATTATATTTCTTCGTTGGTTATTTGTTTGTTATTATTTTTTTTTTTAAATAGAATTTCATATAGTAGTCTCTAAAGAATTTTGAACAAAATTCGTATGTATATTCCTAATCTTTCTTTGTGGATAAGAACCGAGAGACACGAGACCGGTCGTGGATGAAGTAATGTGCCAGGAAGTAACGTACCGGTGCTTAAACACTTCGAGATGACCCAGATGTTAGAACGAGTTAATGCCTCTGCATATCGGCTTTATGAATTCGCGACATTTCTATCTCGTTCTACGAAAAGAACATTTCTTCCACGAATTTTCTAACATCTGTCTATAAAGATAATTAATCGATCGAAACGAATACACTCAATAGGCTCTTATAACACAGTACTGTTAATCCTTAAAGTGCACACTTGGTAAAAGTTAGTTAAAATGCACTGTGGGTGTTTGAACGCGTCTCCTGAAGCCGCTATTTAATATTTAGACCTCGCAATTTTTTTAAAAGTACCTTGATACATCTTTTTAAAAATAGAATAGGTTTTATACTCATCTGAATTAACACTAGATGGCATTAGACAAATAACCCATTTTTTCGAATTCAGTACCGTTTTTGAGAGATCAAAAATTTGTTGGGGTGTCGAACACCCCATGTGCACTTTAAGGGTTAAAACATAGTTCCAATGTATAACACGATGCAAAAATTGCGGTCTTTCTTCTTGTAAGATGTTATTTTTATAACATGTTTTTCATTTAGCACGAATTCATTAATTTCAACAAATCTCCTATAACACGAATTTCATTATTTTTATGGCCTTTTAAAAACACAGTTTCAATACAATGCGGAACTAATTAACCATGTTATCTCTTTGCGGCATAGAATTTCAGATAATAAAATAGCTCTACTATGTTGCATAGAAATTTGATTACGTTTTAAATTAAACTAAATTGGTATATTTTTTTTATTAATAAAGATATTACATAATGTAATAATGTAAAAACATAAGAAAAGAGTTGATAACCAATTGTTTTGCGTAAATCGGACGAAATATAATCTTATGAGCATGTTTAGCTATTGCAATAATATTTCGAGGTGGGACTAAAAATGTCTCAATGTGCATTACGGTGTATCAAAAAGGTAGGACACTTTTAATCCCACTGTGCTCCAAAGAGTTATATGAGGTTTTAGTATTCTAGTTTAAATTATTTCTTCTTTTTAAGATTACTTTTATTGTTACATTTTGTAAATAATTAACGAGTCCTGTGTGTGTGTGTGTGTGTGTGTTAGTAAATTTTTTAAGAGAGTATTAACAATCCAATTTTTCATTAGATAAGAATAAAACTTTCTGATAATTGGATTATTTACACAATTTTTGATTTGTTTTAATTTTATTAAACATAATTAAGAATGTAATTAATATAAATTATCAAAGAATTTTATATTTTTATATATATATTAATATAGTTCAAGTAATTAAAAAAATCCTGTATGTGGCATTTTTGTTATTAAAAAAACAAAAAAAAACCAAATGTGTCATCATTTAGATATTTTAAGCGCTATAAGTGCCAATCCTATTTGTTCTCATTGTCAGATAAAAAACAATTAACTGCTACTTAATTGGCACTTACATTGTTTCCTACAAAGGTAATGCTGGACGTATCGGTGATATCATCTTTTAACGCTAATAACTATTCACAAAGGAAAATTTTCTTTTAATTTTTATTGGCAAGCGGAACATAATATTATAAAAAAAAAAAGAAACAAAAAGTATTTTTTACAAACATTTGTCAATTATCGTCGTCGTCATTTTAATCGTACTATGCACGAGTGATTTCGAATTATACAGAAGTAAAAGATAAAAAGAATTCGCATGCATACATTGTAGAAAAGTTTACGTCAACATGAGGAGTTAATAGGGGCTGATAAAAATGTATCATTTTAATTCTCGTTAATGTGTTTTAAAGAATACTTTACACTTTGACTTATTGCGCAGTTAATAATTCAGATCGAATTTTTAGGAAATAACCTTGCCCTTTTTCAAATAGTTCGAATCAATCGATAATTCGAAGTTTTTTTTTTTGGGATAGAAATTTTTAATATACAAAATACAAGAGAGTCGTTTATATATTTAAAATATTAATAATAAGAAAAGAAACAATTAAACGATTCGACATTATTTATTGATCAATTCAAATCATGCTTCTCTGGAGGGCCCCGTCACCGTATACGGTGACGCTCTTCTTGTTGAAGTTATAGTATTTTTAGTTGGAAAAACTTTCCTACTACATTTCCTATTTCGAAACAAAACTATTTTCGGTAAATAAAAGATAGTTTTATATTTTTTTATTTCCGCTAAATAAAATATAATAATATAATATAACCATAATATTAGGGTCGCATTGTTGATATTTCTACTTATCGCTTCTTTACGTTACGTAGGCGCGTTGACAGTAGAATTTTGGGCTTGGCGAGAAACTCAACCGAAACGGGCTGGGCGACGAACGTGTTAATAGAAATGAAAATATATAAAATAAATATAATAATTTATTATATTTATTATATTTATAGTATTTAAAAATTAAATATTATTTCTTGGTACTCGTACATACTATATAAACAACATTAATAATTAGTATGTACAGAAATAACATTAGTATTTTACGCCCGAATGAACAGTAACAATATTTTTACTATTATTTCTATTGCTATTTTTATATTAGTATTTTTCGTAGTATACTTATCAATAGTTTCTTTACAATCAAATAAAATACTAATATTGTTTATTGCAATATAAAATATAAAAAGAGTATAGACATTAATACTTATCGATGAAGTTAATAGAAAGAACACATATATAAGTAAAGAGTAGATAACTATGGTTACCTGTTTGCGAGTGCTACCTTGATTGATTTCTGGTGGCCGTCAGGGTAAGTGTACGGCTACCTGTCGACCCTGATGATACCCTTATAAGTTGTCTCTTGTTTTTTGGCTATCCTTACCGACAGAAACGGACGTAAGAATAACACGGAGAGAATGGAATACCTAAATTGGTCATGTCTGCGAGTCACACAAGTTTAACGTTTACTATAAGATGAACAAGCGTGTAGCTTTCGAAAACGGTGAGAACTGAGAAAAGATTTCATTTCAAAGAGAATTCACAGTATGTCGGCTTAATACCAAAGAACTACCTATTTTCAACATTTTCTTCCAAGATCATCTTTTTAACACTTACAAACCTGTAAGTAAAGCTAGTGCTAATCTCAATTAGTCTTTATTACCAGCTTTTGCCGACGGTAAACGTCGTCGTCGTCATAGTCGTCGTAGTCGTCGTAGTCGTCGTAGTCGTCGTCGTAGTTGTCGTCGAGTTTACTTGCAACTAGGCTTAATGTCTTACCACGATCGTATTGACCTCACACGGAGCAACATATCCCGGATATGGTACAACCGGTAAGAGATTATTGATTATAAGCATCATATGAATATTACTCAAAGTAAATCAAGAGATTATAAACGACACGAGTTTGAAGGTAAACTTAGAGAGATTAATTCGTAATAATGAAATTTGTATATTCTGTTTTTAAAGACTACCCACGTAAATGGACCTTATTCACGTGTTTCTTTCTTTCTTTCTTTCTCTTTCTTTATTTGTTACTCTCTTTCTCTCTCTCTCTCTCTTCTTTTTCCTCGTTTCGCGATCCTCTTAACAAGATTCGCGGCTAATTGGCCGCAGCCACGAATACAACGCGGCCGTTGTCCGTTAAAGAAGTTTAGTAAGCCAATGCGTGTCTTTTAAATAGGTAAATCATCATCACAGCTCTCTCAAGTGCCTTTCTCCGAGGAACTAAACTTTCAGAAACGAAACGAGACGAAGAGTCTACGATGATTTTAG